TCTCCTTTAAATGATTGTTCTAAGAAATTTTACACTTAAAAAAATTTATAAAACTTTTATTATACACACCAGCCATTAACAATTTCAAGGGGACTTAAAAGGGGAAAAAAAGAAAAACAATTGCAAAAAAAATCACAGATTTTATTACAAACTGTAGTTCTGCTGTCCACCAGTAGGTGGTGACATGTTCACATGAAGCCTCATGAACTGTGGGGATCGTTGAAGCAATTTGGCCAAACGGTTCAATGCCTCATGAGGCTTCATCTCACCATCACTACTATTTGGATCAAACTACAAACTGACCTAATTCTTGACTTTTGTCTGTGAATATAGAAAATTAGAACTAATTAAAAATATTGTGTGTAGATTAAAAAATCTACACACGCTTTTACTGTAATATCAGGTTATTTTATTCTTCCTTAACTTGATAGAAACATGCAAATATAACCTGACCGTACCTGGTAGATGAAGCACACTGTCGGAGCTTGGCAGCCATACAGGAAGTGAACGTCGATGACCTGCAGCTCCTCCAGCCGGATGTTGAAAGCCTTTAGCTCCCGGTTGTCCCGGTCCAATGGGATCACCTTGAACAGTCCATCATACAGCCTCAGACCAATCATGCGACATTCTGGGTCAACAATTCCGATAATCCCAGTTTCTGATGGACGGCCAATGCGATCCTTGAAGACAATAAAAAAAATAGACATAAAAGATTGGTGAAATTATGGCAAGGAGCAACGCAGCTTGTAAAATTCCTCAGGTTAAATAAATTGAAAGAAGTGTAATTTTTAAAGTTTAAAATAAAATGAAAACCATCCCAGCTGCATAGAGGCCTCACCAACCTGGACATTTCCATGGGCTCGGGTGATGATATCAATGCTCTCCCCATTCTGTTTGTATTCCAGGATACATGCGTTGTACTTGGTTGTGAGAATGAACAGCAGGTCCTTGCTTTCACCCTGGAAAAAAGGCGAAAAAAAGACGTTTTTAATGAATATGGTTTGCTAAAATGTAATAGGAGAAAATAGGTGAACATGAGCCGTTCCAAAAACCCCGGTAGTCCGCCGACAAAAGCTAATAAGGAGTCAATATTTAAGAGCCTCTAATCTTGCTTTTAGCTAAAACAAATGACTGAAAATATAACCTGAGTCTTAACTTAAATTTTTTTTTTTTCCCATGTGTGTCTTTCTAATCACAAAAAAGGACATGTATTAAAATATCTCAAATTCAAAGATATAGTTTTGACACTAGAGAAAAGATAGTAATCGATCTTTGATCATTTTTAAATCCAGCAGACTAAATGAAACACAAAAAAATAAAAATAAAAAAGATTTACCAACGACCTTTAAAAGACTCTTTTGCGTAATTCCTACCTTTGGACGGAAAAGCTCCATGACGGCAATTTTGCCATACATGCCCACTTCCTTGACAGGTCTAAGTCCCTCAGCTGTGACCACATAGATCTCCAAACGTGTGTTTTTAGCTATGAGCAGATTAAGGTCCTCAGCAGAGGTGAAGTGGCCTGAAAGAAAGAGTGCAACATTTGAAATGATGGTACATTTTGTTTAGGAAGCATTGGTGCATCTAAATAGAGGTGAGCTATAGAGAACTTTAACTCCAAGCATTTTCATTTTAAAACACTGCATTTATTTTAATTTCAAAACATCCAGAACTATGGCTTTATTTCCAGAAAACATGTCATTGCTACATATTTGTTGAATAGTGATGCACTTTATCCTCAATTTTATTTTTCAGTTTTTCCCTTTATCACAAGTACTACAAAAATACATCCAGTGCCAGCATCAAGAAAGTTAAATGCTTAACCCCTCAAGCGTTTAAAGGTCAGATATGATCCTGGCACTTTGAATTTAAAGGAAAACACTTTAACAATTACTCCCTTCAAATTGTTTTAAAATCTATTAGGAATGCAACTATAAATTATTTTGCTAATCAATTTATCTTTTCAATTATTAATAAGATAGCCAACGACTCTTTAAAGACTTTTTACAAAGTTAAACCAGATGAGACTAAAACTTTACCCCTTGTGGAGTTATGGATAGCGCATATTAACAGACATTTTTTTTTTTAAATCTTAAATGCAAAATGTTTATATATTTTTTTTTACAATCTAGGCATAATTACTGCTCTGTCAGCTAAAAGCATGTTTTAGAGTCTCTATACCCCAGTTAATGACTAAACAAAATTAGCTGACAATTATATAAATAATCGATTTATCGTGATTGTTTCAGCCCTAAAATCTATACTATATATTAATTTAATAAGGAGCTCAAACAACATAGAAGTTCAAGTTAATACTATTAAAAAAATGTCTATTTGGAAATAAATATTTAAGGAAAACAGGAAATAAAACTGTAACCATAAGTCTTGATTTATTACAGTGCCCAATAAGTCTAGCACAGCAGTCACCCAGCAGACACTGGTCAGGGGGCAAAAACACAAAACATAAACCAGTATGAATAGTTGCAAAAACACTAACAGATATAAATTGATTTTTTTTTTTTTTAATGGCACTATAACAACTGTAAAGTCAAGTATAGATAATAAAAAAAACAAGTTTTTGCAATGTACCAATGTACAAAGTACAACTGTTATAAAGGAATTAATGTTGATTTTGTTTTGGAATTTAAAAAAAATGTATAACTATGTCATCATTGGAGTTTCACAACACCAAAAGAATGATCAACTGTTTCATTTCAAGTTCAACATCCACCCATCCATCTTCTCCAGCTTAGTCCTGTCAGGGTGGCGGTGAGGCCAGTGCCTATCTCCGGCAGTCTATGAGCGAGAGGCGGGGTACACCCTGGACAGGTCGCCAGTCTGTCACAGGGCAACACAGAGAAAAACAACCATTCACGCACGAACGCACACACGCACTCACCCCTAATGACAATCTAGAGAAGCCAATGAACCTAATACTCATGATTTTAGACTATGGGAAGAAGCCGGAGTACCAGGAGAAAATCCACACATGTACAGGGAGAACATGCAAACTCCATGCAGAAAGACCACGGGCCAGGAATCCATTCCAGAACCTTCTTGCTGCAATATTGTCTACAACTAGATTAGTTTTTGCCAAATAGATAGAATATGAGTCATAAATGCCCATCACTTTGTATCTACACCAAGATTAAGAACCTAAATCTGTAACGAATGAAAAGCCTCATGAGGAAAATGTTAATTGATCAAAATTAAAAATGCCATTTTGAATAATAATAATACTATGCTATGTTTTTTAAAATTTGATAAGATATAACAGTGTTACATTAAGGCATATCATCTTAAAATACAGATAATTCAACATATCTAATCTGAAGCCAGAATGTATGCTTTTAGGCTGGACAGTCAGGAAACAACTGAAAAAGAACTGGATTAGTCAGTCACTTCATTTGGATGGGATTAAACTGATTTCAGATAATAAATCAAAAAATCTTGGTGTTATTTTTGATCAGGGCTTGTTATTTAAATCCCATTTTAAAGAGGTTTATAAAATGTCCTTCTTTCATTTGCAGAATATTGCAAAAATNCATAACGCTGCCACCACCATGTCCAATGACAGTGAGTAGTTTTTTAGTGTGGTGTCCAGTGTTAATTTCCCAAAACATTCAGCATCTCATCTTTTTCAAGGCACATTTTTTCACTTGTGTCTTCCATTGGCTTTTCTTTTAATGCTTTTTCATTGACCGCTCTTTTAAACAGACTAGCCTTCTAGAAAAAACAGCTATTAACTGTTTCATCTGCAGATTCTCCCACATGAGCCGTGGAGGTACGAAGCTTCTTCTTCCAATCAAGCTCAGATGCACGGCCATGTCTTATGAAGTTTTTAGTTCAGCAAGTGTGTTTCCGTTTACAAATCACTTTAAACAGAACTCTGTAAGACACTGGAATATTGTTTTATAACGTAAGATTATTGTATGACTTCTACAGGGAGGTGGTTGTACTGGATGTATTTTAAAGTTATTAGGTAAAAAAAAGGGGCTTAATATTGATTCAACATTTTTCCCTTGATTTTTCAACAAATTTTGAATCAATGCATTTCTGTTTTCCTCTTTTTCAAAATGATTAATTAAATCCAATAATATCATAGAAGTTTGAGTAATTTAGTAAAAGCTTATTTTGAATGAATACATCGACACGTGGCTGTAAACATAGCATAAAATACTCCATCACAGTTATCTTGTTTCAGCTCATAGAATTCTCAGCTAAAACGTTTGGATCACTGCATTCCAAATAGAGATTTTTACATTTTGATGTAAAGTAGATGTAAAAAAGATGTTAAGTATTTGAAATCTGCAGCAGTCTTATATGTCAGATATTTTCTACTCTAATGCTGGTGCTTTGGTCCAAGAACTCCTTTAATCTAAAATATCGTAGCGATTATGAACTGAAAGCAAAGACAAATACTTAGAAAACAATTTACTTTATATAAAAAAATAAGATAGTATTTAAATTATTACAACTATGAAAAATATAGAATATCAATGCATTGTTTATCATATTGGTATGCACCAGACAATGAAAAACCTGCATTAACAACCTAAAAAAACAATATTGACATGCAGAAAAGACCTATTCGTGGCATATTAAATGTCACAGATAATGAAATATGCCAACATTTGTTTTAGTATACGTTAAAGGGATTGGAACCTGGCACTGTTCCGATGCAGGATGGTAAAGTTTGCAGATGTAAAGGAGAATGTAAAACCCGTGGGCTGTTATATGCGTTGGATTTCCTGGTGAAAACCACTACAGTCTTGCAATGTTTTTGCACCAATTGTGTCATGAGTTGCAGGAGCTGTTGAAGCACCAGGAGAGAGACATATTACTTTTTATGCCCTGTTCCATCTATTTTTGAATTGGTTTAGTTTGGATGCTGTTGTGTTGAAATTTCCAGAAAAAAACAAGAACTGTGCAACAACTGCCAAAGCACTCAGTCTCCATCCTCTGTTGATTCCTGCTTTTACTTTATCCAAACTCTCAAACAGCGGATNGTTCCTAGAATTTCTAAAAGTAGAATGGGAGGCAGATCTTTTAGTTATCAGGCTCCTCTCCTGTGGAACCAACTACCAGTTTTAGTCCGTGAGGCATACACCCTGTCTACTTTTAAAGCTAGGCTTAAAACTTTCCTTTTTTATTAAACTTATAGTTAAGAGTGGCTCAGGTTATCCTGAGCTATCTCTATAGTTATGCTGCTATAGGCTTAGATTGCAGGAGGACATAGGGACCCCCATTTCATCATTTTGCAGCATTCTATCTCTATTCTCCCAATCTATAACATTATTCTCTCTCTGCTTTTTCTCATAGTAGGATCACCTCATCTGTTCTAGTTCGGCTGTGACACCATCCTGGAGAGAAATATCAGCTGTGCTACTGCCATCAACACCCTTGTTTATAGATGTTTGAGATCGGCCTGTTTTTTCAGTGTAGTCCCTGTTTCTCTGACTGTGACTGGCTGGATGTGCTCTCTTCATCCTCTGACATGGGAGCTGGCTGGAGCTCGTCTGCCTGGCTGTGTGTTTCCTGGACGGGGCCGCCTTTTACAGTTGCTTTTTGTGTCTCTGCTTCTGTCTACTTGAACCCCAATCGGCCTGGGCAGATGGCCGCTCACACTGAGCCTGGTTCTGCTGGAGGTTTCTTCCTATTAAAAGGGAGTTTTTCCTCTCCACTGTTGCTACAGCATGCTTAGTGTGAGGGATTGCATTCTATTCAATGAGTTGATGCAATCAATTGGTTTTCCTTAGATAGAAAACTTTGAATCAATCTGACTGTATGATCTGGTGAACTGGAAAGTGCCTTGAGATGACATGTGCTGTGAATTGGTGCTATAGAAATAAAATGATTTAATTTTTTCAATTTTTCTCAGAAATTTAGGGATTTCTTAAAAACTTGCTCATACGCAGATACTTCATGAATTTGCTGCACAATATAATTCCGATGTATGCTGCAGTGTAACTGCTATGTTAGCAGGCAGAGACTATATTACCCATGTATTTCTAATTGCACCTGCGGCAGGGCTGTTTCTCTCCTCGTTTTTACCGGACGACTTTACTAAGCGTTATGTGATTATATCTGGTTCTCATAAAGGGAATTGGTGTTATATGCCATCTACTTTTCAGTTGTTTTTTAGTCTGCCATTACTCAAACAATACTCGCCAAAAAACAAAACCAGGATTTAATTTGTTTTAATCGTTTTGGCGTTGCAAGAATAATTACAAAGATCTGTTTCATTCACAGCACATACCGCACTACGACCAATATAAGAAGTAAACATCTGAGCTAAAGCTAGATGCTAACACGGGCCTGTGTGCAGCGCGGGAGCTTAGTTAGCAACGCAGCTAGCAAATGTTCCGGATCCGCCATATTTACCAGTGATGCAGGCGTTCACTGCCGTAGGCTTCTGTGCTGTTACCACGTAGTTATAGGACATCTTCACAGCAATGCACGACAAAACACTAGATGAGTGTTTATATCTCACACAAACGATTATATCATTGATAATAATTACAATTCCGGAAGCAGTTGGGGAAGTCGTTTAGGTTAACGACGTGCTTGGATTCTGACCTGGAGCGCCCCCTGGCGGCCAGAGAGCGTTCTACAAGTTAATGGGGCAGTGCGTCTTCACCATAAACGGAACGCAAATATCTAAATATCTTTGCTGTTTACTTGCTCCACCCTGTAAAACAAATAAAATCATATTTTTTAATGACATTATTTAGATTTTTTGATCATATTTTTATCTTCTTTTTATAAAATAATCAAAACATATTGTGTATATGGGCTGCATCTATTAAATTTGTTCCACATTTTTACTGTTAATATGTCAAATGTATTTATTAATACTTTAGGGCTCATTCTAAAAGCATTTATGTCTGCTGTTAGGTTTGTTCAACCACAGAAACAGAGCCGATTTAATATTTAAATAACAATTTAAAATACATAAAAAAAAAATAATACAAATGGATTTTTAATTCAGTTTATTTCTATAGCGCCAATTCACAAAACATGTCATCTCAAGGCACTTTACAATTCACCAGATCATACAGTCAGATTGATTCAAAGTTTTCTATCTAAGGAAAACCAGTTGATTGCATCAACTCATGCCTTGAATGCATCCCTCACACTAAGCATACTTGTAGCGACAGTGGAGAGGAAAAACTGCCTTTTAACAGAAAAAAACCTCCAGCAGAACCAGGCTCAGTGTGAGCGGCCACCTGCTGAGACCGACTGAGGTTCAAGGAGACAAAAGCAGTGATACAAAAATGCAGTGATATAAACAAAGGTGTTGATGGCAGCAGCACAGCTGATATTTTTCTCCAGGATGGTGTCACAGCCAAACAGGAACAGATGAGGTAAAAAAATAAAAAATAAAAATTAAGCCCAATCTTAAGTAAACTGCTGGATTTCAGTTATTGTAAGTGGTAAAAATAAATAAATAAATAAATAAAAACAGAAGTGATTGTTTTTTTGTTTTATTTTTGTCCACAGGCGGTCGTTACCTTGTTTGGGATTTATGCAGGTCTACTTTCAACCATTCATGTTGCACGTTAGCACAATTTGATTATCCGAGGCGCATTGAACTCACCTAAGCTAGACGGCGCGTTGCCATGGAAGCAGGCCTTTTAGAGTTGGACTGTGAATTAACTGGAAACATAATTGTTTGCCAACCGCCATAAAACAAGAGGAAGAAGAACTGGAAACATTGGGCTCGAAAAATGGAGAGGCCTGAAGAAACTGAACAAAGTCATTTGGCGATAAAAATAACCGTAAAACGTGGGCATAACCTGGTAAGATTGTTAAAAATTACTTTAACTCTAAACTAAAGTCACTTTGGTAAAGACGGCATCGTTGGAATAAACAACGGCCAATAACGGAAAATGTCAAACGTAAGGTTTAAAGGCCCGCCGAGTTTATTTGTATAAAGAACAACGACAATTAATTCTTAACTATAAAATAAGAAAATAAAAGCAGAGTAGAAGCAACTAAATATAAAAACATTCGAATTGTAAAAGTAAACTTTGTAAACTATCTTTAAAGGTCATGTAGCAACACTAGCTTGTCGATCTATCTATCATCTATAGGGCTGAAACAATTAATTGGATTAATCGTGATTAATCAAATAAAAAAACAATTTATATAATCGAGTAATCATTAACTGGATTATAGAGACTGTAACACATGCCTTTAGCTGACAAAACGACCTACTTAAAGCAGTAATTATATCAAAACTGCTAAAAAGTAGGCTATATATAAAAACACTTTGTATTTAAGTTATTTTTTTTTTTTCGTTCATCAATAAGCTCTATCTTGAACTCCTCATGTGGAAAAGTTTTAGTTTCATCTGGTTTAATTTAAAAAATCTTCTTTAAGGAGCCTTTGGCTCCAATTATTAATCGATTCATAGGAAAAAAAAAATCGACAGATTAATTGATTTAAAAAAAAAATAATCGTTAGCTGCAGCCCTAATCATCTCTCTGTCTATCCAGCTATCTAGCTATCTAGGCTCTGTAATTAAATACTTAAGGATAGTACTTATGCGACTTGTATCAAAGACCAATTCATACAAACTGTGTCGAAATATTTTTAATGCTGTATTATAATCTCTTGATTTTACTTTCAGCACGGAAAGAATGCAGACAGTCTTCAGACGTTTCTACAAGTTGCAATGGATGGAGTGATGCTGGGAGAGTCAGATAAGAAAAATGTGAACCCTGAGGAACGCGTTGTTGAATACAACTTTACGTGCTCCTATAATCCACCCAATGACGCCCAGGCTTTCAGTAATATAGCCCAAAAACCAATCATATGTAAGTTGAACATGTCGAATATACCTCACATTTAAGTCAAGTGTGTTCCACTTATTAAACAAGTGTAGTAGAGATAATTGTAGTGACCAATCCTTTTGTCATTAGTTACAGTGATGGNTGCCGACTGAGTGAAATCCATCGATCTCCGTTTATTTAACTAGGATGAATAGTTGAATACTTTTTTCCCACGACATTAGCGCAATTTGATTATCCGAGGCGCATTGAACTCACCAAAACTAGACGCCGTGTTGCCATAGACACAGGCCTTTTAGTGTTGGATTGTAAATTAACTGGGCACACTGGGCTCGAAAAATGGAGAGGCCTGAAGAAACTGAAAAAAGTCATTTGGCGATAAAAATAACCGTGAAACGTGGACATAACCTGGTAAGATTGTTAAAAATTACTTTAACTGTAAACTAAAGTCACTTTAGTAAAGACGGCGTCGTTGGAATAAACAACGGCCAATAACGGAAAATCAGCTTTCATACTTTTAATTGCTTTAAACGTAAGGTTTAAAGGCCCGCCGAGTTTATTTGTATAAAGAACAACGACAATTAATTCTTAACAATAAAATAAGTAAATAAAAGCAGAGTAGAAGCAACTAAATATAAAAACATTCGAATTGTAAAAGTAAACTTTATCGTTAAAGGTCATGTAGCAACACTAGCAATTCTATCTATCTATCATCTATAGGGCTGAAACAATTAATTGGATTAATCGTGATTAATCAATAATAACAATTTATATAATCGAGTAATCATTAACTGGATTATAGAGACTGTAACACATGCCTTTAGCTGACAAAACGACCTACTTAAAGCAATAATTATATCAAAACTGCAAAAAAGTAGGCTATATATAAAAACACTTTGTATTTAAGTTTTTTTTTTATTCATTCATCAATAAGCTCTATCCAGAACTCCTCATGTGGAAAAGTTTTAGTTTCATCTGGTTTAATAAAAAAAAATTTCTTTAAGGAGCCTTTGGCTCCAATTATTAATCGATTCACAGAAAAAAAAAATCAACAGATTAATTGATTTTAAAAAAAAATAATCGTTAGCTGCAGCCCTAATCATCTATCTGTCTATCCAGCTATCTAGCTATCTAGGCTCTGTAATTAAATGCTTAAGGATAGTACGTATGCGACTTCTATCAAAGACCAAGTCATACAAACTGTGTCGAAATATTTTTAATGCTGTATTATAATCTCTTGATTTTACTTTCAGCACGGAAAGAATGCAGACAGTCTTCAGACGTTTCTACAAGTTACAATGGATGGAGTGATGCTGGGAGAGTCAGATAAGAAAAACGTGAACCCTGAGGAACACGTTGTT